CTCCTCGGTCCAGTTCTTGAAGTCTGCTTAGAAGTCGGCCCAGAGTCCGCGGTCCATAACTCCCGTGGTTATATAGTAGGTAAATCGTGTGGTTATATATTCCTCACGCTGATCCTAGTTACATTCCTATAGGTCAAAACCATTTCTGTGGTAGAATCTGATTTTCTCCTCTTATATCATGTTGCCCCATGATTCGTGCGCCTCTCGGTAGGTCTAGTCCCTATCTATATGTTTATCGGGGTACCCTTGGCCTCTGCTCTGGTTAAAAGCGGGTGTAGGGCTAGTATGTTCCGTGTATGATCCGGGCATACTTACTTATGTATAGCTGCCCCGAGTGCGTGGTCTATATAACGGTGTTCCGTCCATAATGATGGTGAGTAGATCTGAACTTTCGTCGTCGTCTCGTGGGGTCAGGTCTTCTTCCGTGATTAGGGAATGGCGTGCGAATTGCCCTTGGTTATTACGCTTTCGTTCATGGTATATAGATTTGATTAACTATGGTATCTAGTATGCTGGTGGTGCCATATAGCTCCTATAGGTGATGCTAGGGGGAGATTAGCTATATTCTAGCGTGGATCCGTAGAGGAGCCGGATAAGTCATAAGTGGAGAAGTTGAACAAGTCACTAGTGGGTTCTGGTGTCCCACAATTCAAAGAGGGGAAGATTTTTAGGGGTTTTTGAGTATCCCTAGTTTTTCCAATACGAAAAGGAAAAGTTTTAGTCGAATGTCCTTCGAAAAGTAGTCGTAAAGGAGGTGTTGAAAGGTAGAAACTAGGGTGTAGTTTTCTAAATCAAACTTGAAAATTGTGTTTTTGGAAGAGTGAATGGGCTTGCCGGTGCTAATTCATGCTCTTAATGGTGTTTTATCGTATTTTCTTCGATCGAATTTGGCTTATCGTTGTAACGAGTTTTCGTGGTTTTGAGGATTTTTCACAATAACTTAGTGATATAACCTCCAAGTCTGATTTAGCTCGTCAACTGATCAGTGTCGATCAACTACGTTGAAAGGACAGGGTTCACACGTTACACTATATACACTGGAAAAGGGTATGGTTCGTCCTAGATTCTTAGTATATACATTGTGCAAAGTGGTGTGAAATATGTTCGATTCATGTAGCTACTTGAGTTCCTAATATAGTTGTTCCCCCGTGACTCGGGGGTCTGTTTGTTCCGTTCCGGGTTTATGGTATTGCATGATTGCAATATCCATGTTCCGACAAATACTTGTCTGACTGATATGCTGCATCAACGTCTTGGCCCACTCGGGTGGGCTCGACGGTTCGCTTGTAGTCATGATGATGAAGATATTCGTTTTCTTCTCGTGTTTGAATCGGATGCTTTCCGTCTTTAATTCGTTTGTCGGATGCTTAACTAGATACTTTCTAAGAGCGATTTCGTATTTATAGGACGCTCAATTAGATACTTTCTAAGAGCTTTTCGTATTCGTTGGTATGCTCGATCGGATTCTTTCCGAGAGCGATTCGTTCGTCTGTCGTATATGGCTCGATCAGATACTTTCTGAGAGCGCTTTTCTTATCGTCGGTCGTGGGTTTTACTCTCGTTAGAGGAAGGATTTTGTATATGAAGGGCTAAAGCTAATCTTGAATTCAGAACTAGCTAGGCACATGCTATTTACAAAATCCTTGAAGAACGTGAACAATTCGGGGTGGAATCGTGAGGTATGCGGTTGGTGGGTCACGTGGTACAACCACGTGATAGTTCACCAGGATTCAACCTGTTACAATTGGCATGCCTTTATAGCCTTCACAATTTCAGGTGGCAGACCAGCAAATTTTCCTTTTTGGTTTACCATCTCATCAACCATATCATCAAGACGGTAGTAGAGAAAGGAGGCAAGGTTCATCTTTGGTTATTGTATTAAGACCCTCCAGGTTAAGCGCTTAAACACAGAAAGGACATTTCGAAGATGCTCTAAAAACATCCAGTCTGCTGATGAGAAGGGTCTAGATTGTAGCGAGCACATCTGAAGAAACAAGTTCAGCGGCTTCTTGGCCTTTCAAAAAATATTTCAGAAGTTAGTAGGGTTAGATATAAGTAGAATATATCATACCTTTAAAGCATCTTCTAACATACGAAATATGGAGTTCCAACGAGTATCGACATCCTTCTCAATATATTTCACTGCTGTCTAGGATCTCTCACAGCATAGTCTCTAGTCCTCTCTTCGAAGATTACTCCGTGTAATCCAGATAGTAAGAACACGAATTTTCTGAAGAGGGTTTAGTTCAGGGATGGTTGAAGTAGGCTCTAGATCATCAACAAGGTCATTTGCTTCACTCATACTTCCAGTCTTTAGAACTTTTAAAATCTTCTTTACCATCAGGTTAAGAACATAGGTAAAGCAACGAACAAAGCTATGTAACCCCTCAATCTCCTCCTCCTCCTCTTCTTCAGCCTCCCTATCTTCTCCACTCTCTTCTCTATTATTGTCGCGATCAAGCTGCCACCAAGGGTTTTCTGTTTACTTTATTTGCTGGGTTAGACACCTAACCATCATCTCATTATTACTAGCATTATCAGCAGTAATTAAGATAATCTTCTCAGAAATTTGAAGCTCATCAAATAGTAAGTAAATAGCACTCGCTAGATTTTCACCACTATGATGCCCCTTAAGCACTATGAATTCAAGTATCTTTTCTTGGTACTAGAAATCCTTAGTCAGCCAATGACCAATGACCCCAAGAATGCTAAAGCCATTTAGACTACTCCAACAATTAGACATGTTCATTGGGTTGGGTAAACCCATACCCAACCCAACCCAACCCACAATGGGCTGGGTATGGGTCAGAAATTTTACCCAAAACCCATATGGGTTGGGTATGGGTTTGAAGTAAAACCCACACCCAGCCCATAAACCCATCTTTTTGCCAAGACTTTTATTTCACGTGATATTTGTCACCTAGTTAGTACTAGATTGAGGCAAAAATTAGGCACTAAGGCACTAATTACCCTAATTTAGTTTAGGTTGAGGCGAAAATCAGGCATTAAGGCATCAAAAATACCCATATGGGACCCATACCCAACCCATACCCACGTGGGTTGGGTTGGGTATGGGTATGGGTTTACCTTACCCCTGATGGGTTGGGTATGGGTATGAATTTTGACCCATACCCAACCCATGCACATGTCTACCAACAATCTAGAGATAAAGCGATTGTACGGCATGTTAAGGATAGGGAATCCTTTAGCTGGGCACGAGACTTATTAAAGGCTTGAACCGCATGTGATTAGACATGTGCATGGGTTGGGTATGGGTCAAAATTCATACCCATACCCAACCCATCAGGGGTAAGGTAAACCCATACCCATACCCAACCCAACCCACGTGGGTATGGGTTGGGTATGGGTCCCATATGGGTATTTTTGATGCCTTAATGCCTGATTTTCGCCTCAACCTAAACTAAATTAGGGTAATTAGTGCCTTAGTGCCTAATTTTTGCCTCAATCTAGTACTAACTAGGTGACAAATATCACGTGAAATAAAAGTCTTGGCAAAAAGATGGGTTTATGGGCTGGGTGTGGGTTTTACTTCAAACCCATACCCAACCCATATGGGTTTTGGGTAAAATTTCTGACCCATACCCAGCCCATTGTGGGTTGGGTTGGGTTGGGTATGGGTTTACCCAACCCAATGAACATGTCTACATGTGATCGAAGACCTTGTCGAGTTCGGAAAGGTAGTTTCCTGGTCTTTGTGGGCCCTTCAACTAGTCGCTGGAAGAACGGGTTCTCAATAAAGGTCCAGGGTAGGTTTTCGGTTGAGATGAGACCTGAATAAAGAGAATGATAGATTAGTAAAGATGATCATTAAAAGTATTTAAGTCATGCCATAGTAAAATAGCCATACCAAGAATCTCAGATATAGCTGGTTCATCAGCCCTTTTCAAATAGCTCATCATACTATTTCTAGCCTCAGGTTTTGGTGGTATGATCCCATGGGTGGAAAGATGACTAATAAGGTTGCTTGTACCCCCTTGTTATATACTCTCAGAGGTACTCCACGGACAGAATGTCCCATCAGGCATAGCCATAACACAAGTAATATCGTTATCAAGGTGCTTGACTTTCCCTGATTTCTTCACAACCCATTGCCTCTGAACTTGAGTCATCTTAAAGTATGACCAGCACCAGGAACTCGAAGTCTTTTTTGGGTTTGGGGTAAGAAATCCTGAGGTTTTTGGTGTCTGGGAAAGAGAGAAAGGGGAAGGAGATACTGATGGTATCGATTCAATAGAAGGATATAATGGAGAAGAGAGAGAAGGTAGAAAAGGCTCTTGAGAAAGGGATTCTTGGCTTTTAATAGGCGTTGTCAGTTCGTTTTGAGATGGATCTTCAAGAGCATCGAATCCATTTTCAAGAATATTATAGGAACCAGTTGGCGCAGTCCCATTACCACGAGTCACTCGTCTATTTGACTCCATATCCATGAAATATAATAAGAGAAGAATGATAGTTTATACTAGGGTAGAAGAAAATTGTCTAGCGATATTATAATCACATGATATCGTATGATAATTGGCAGATATATCTGCCATTTTTTGGATGGCAGATGCAGATGGCGGAGATGACTGATATCTGCCATTTTATCTGCTATACCAAAAAGGGGTGGCAGAGTTGGCAGATGGCAGATACTATCTGCCATCTGCCTAACATCCCTACTTGTCTTACTTGCAGCTACACATAAATCCCCTAATAGGATTAGATTGGCGAGCACTCTACCATGACGAGGCAAAGGCTATTCAAATCGTAATACCATGCGCCCTTCCGAGACTGATCCGTCTCTCATCAGTGATATCATCTCATTGATATCATCCAGCTTGAAAAGTTTGGTGTTGATTTGGGGAAAGATGCGCTGGCGCAGCGAGTAATCAAGGCAACGTTGCACCCCAGCCTGACCCGGTAGTCTCGATCCGATGACACTACAAACCACGTAAGTTCCTTGATTAATCTTCCTCAGCAGCATGTATGATGTCCTTTGCTCACCTGTAGCACCTCGCTGATAGATGGAAAGCTTGTATCTGGATTGGATTTTTGGGAAGCCCCAAAACCATGATTCTCCCTAGTGCCCCAACGCAGTAAAAGGCAGTCTGGTATGCTATCGCCGCCCCAGTGCATACGATGACTACATCTGCCCCATAATGCCCATTTCTCAGGGCCTCGATCCGCTCTTGGACCCCTCTGAACCCTAATCCCGTCTTATTTATCGTCTGTATCCCAGGATTAGATCGCGCCACAGCCCTCAGCTGCTCCTCTCTCACGTCCACCGCGATCACCCTCACTCCCATTGCCGAAGCATACTGCACTGCCAATTGCCCGACCCCGCCCACCCCAATGATAGCCAGGGTCTCCCCGCGGGCAAGTTTCGCCCGCTCGAATGCATCCCAAACTGATACCCCCGCGCAGAAGATGGGCGATAAACTTTCGACGCTCTGCACCAACTCTTCTTTGCTCTCAAACCCCTTAATGACCACCGCGCTGGCAGCATCCATGATGCAATACTCCGCGAAGAATCCTGGCGCAAAAACGCCCTGCATTTTCGTCTTGGCACAGAACTCGGGACCATGGTACCGGCACTCATAGCATTCCAGGCACATATCGCGATACGGGGCTGACCCGATGATCTGACCGACCTGGAAGCCAAAAGGTTCTACGCCAGGGCCGAGCATGTGGACCAAGCCCACGGCTTCGTGACCGATGATGAGCGGGAACTGTCGCTCGCCGTACGCACCGTCGACCACGCTAAGATCAGTGCCACATAGAGAGGCGGCAAGTACTTTGACGAGGATTTGTCTTAGTCCTGCTACGGGGATTGGGACGTCCTCAATCACGATTGGCTCGTGAGCCTGGTTTTGTTTTCAGCAATTGTGTCTTGATTTGAAATTCTAAAAAATGACTTGAGGTTCTGATATACCTTTCTGCATATGGCTGCTTTCATTTTTGATTCGTGTGCATCGAGATTGACTGGTAGTGATCTCTGATGAGTAGGTACATGAGTCAAGAGAGACGGGCTGTTTTTAAGTGACTGTGCAGTGAGAATTTGGGCGAATTGCCATGGTCAATGCGGACATTTCTTTGAAGAGATGTTAACCACCTACCGATACGAAGGGTCTATTATGCATGCAGTCTGCAGATATTGGAATGATTTATCTGCATGTCGTCTTGCGGGGCTGCTATCTCTCCAAAAGGAATAGATGTAGCGAATTTAGGGCTTCATCATCTCGCACTAATAGTTTTTTTCCCTCTTTCCCGATTTCTGTATTTGGGAAAGTCCTTCCCGACTAATGATAGAAGACTGTTTGTCACTGTCTGCATATTATATTACTTTCTGTAGATCCGACGAAAGTCTAGGCTTTTACCACCTATGTAATTTATCAGGTATTTTAAATTAAAAATGAGATTTTTGTCAATATGCACAAGACAGCCGAGGTAAACAGAGCAATCACGACCAAGATCGATTCAGTGGAGCAACCTGTGCATAAAACAATACCATGGAGTACGTCGCTAGGAAGTAGTAGCACTGGTAGGTCATCTTATCCATCTCCCTCGACGAACTCACCACCAACCGCGTTGCTACTATCGTGGCAAAAACTAAGTGCAAAATGCCCAACCCGATTTTTATCAGGCGATGATCGGGACAAAGCATCATAATTCCAACAGCCAGACCGATCAAAGCTTCGACGATGAGAAATAATCCAGTGCCGGCTCGGAGGCAATTCACGGCCTTGGGCGAGAGAATCAGCGGTAATGTTCTGCGTCCATTTTCGCGATCCCCGTCTATATCCGGGAATTCCTGAACGTGAACTGTAAGGGCAAACCACAGGAAGAGCGCGAGATTCAGGAACGCGACTTCTTGAACGGCAGGGGCGGCATGGGTGATTACAGTGTCGAGCAAATTCAGCTGTATTGTCACTCCCACGGCCGTGAAAGTGTTGCACATGACCCAGTGGTTGAAACGGGGCCAAGCGTAATGAAGTGCGATCCAAACTTGCCAGATGATCAGATACCCTCCAGCTTGCAGTCCGGAAACCACACACAAGGCCGTTGGGAGCAAGCTCCAGCTGAGGATCCAGCGCTGCGATGCCTCAGCTTTGGTGAGCAGGCCCGCGGGGATAGGACGGCTGGGCTTGTTGATGACGTCTTCCTCCTCGGAGATGACTTGATTGGCAATCTCAAATACATATGCAAAGGCAAATATGGCGAGAGCAAATGGAGGAAGAAGCTGGAGGTACTCGACTGGCGTTAGCAAAGGCGATACCAGAAGGCGAGCAATAACGCATACGATAGCGTTGCCTAAATGTGCGGTTGCATTATCTTTTAGGAAGGCTGAAGTTATGATTGTCTCCATCCCCAGCCCACAGAGGAGCTTTTGGATGGGGTTGAGGATTCTGATCCTGAATTTTTTTAGAAGCCACTGGGGGTAGAGCTCAGCTAGAACGTCTTACATTATCTCGAATTGCAGATCAGGTATCACTGTGTTAGCCTATGTGAGCCGGAATTGAGAAGTCTTAAGTATATCTCACTATCCTGACTTGATTCATCCCTACGGTACAAAAAAAGGGCGATACTTATATAGGCCGATCTGCGAAAGCCAACACGACAGGAGAAACAAGAGCACGCATCAATGACTAAAGTCTATGGGGTATTACCGTACACGACCCTTTCCTCTGGGACTTGCTTATCACCCATCCGATGAACTTGCAGTATATGCAGGAAAATGGGCATGGTTTCCATGCGGTGTAACGCTGTCTATGCCTCAGCAGCTAGCAGAATGTCTATCATCGGGTAAAATCAAGGAATCCCTGCCTCTATAATACCCCAAATAGTTGATTTATCTCGATCATACCAAAAATATTAAACGTGTTGCGTGTTTAGTGGACACCAATGACTTAAGTGGTCGATAGTGCATTTCACTACTAGATTCTTTGGTGACGACATCCAACAGTCCCTGGAAGTATCTGTTGGAATGAATATCAGCTGATATATGTCAAAGGAAGTGATTTGGGACCCACTTTTCGGTGTGTATTTAAGCCAGATTACACTCTAGTTAGAAAATTCAGTTTCATTCATTTGTGGCATTTGAATGATTGGCCAGTCTGAACCAGTCGACTTGACAATATACCAAGATCATGTGATCTTGGTATGGCAGCTACTATATCTTCTTTCATCTGAGCATTTTAGAATGACACTTCACTTTTACCCAATATGCATACACCTATTATATACGTACAGAAGCGATATCAATAGCTGTCTGCTTCGGTAACAACCTAGTCAACCGACAGTATCTTATTAAGCCGAATGGGCTGCCTTTTCATATTGATACAGGACCGCCCTTCACAAAATTATCATTATTTACAAGACAATTTCAACTATCCATCAAAGATGGCCCTCCCCTCCTGCCTAGAGCAGGGACTGCGAGCTGCCCTTGAGAAACGCCGCCATGAGGGTCAGTATTGGGGTCTGCCATTACATAATGAGCAGAAAAATTGCATCGACTTCAATACCAATGACAGCCTATCTCTCGTAACTTCTGGTGCACTGCGCACAGAACTGCTCCAAGAACTAAGTAAAAATCTTGACGCAAACATTGGATCTGGTGCCTGTCGACTGAATGGTGGATCAACCGACTATATGGTCGATCTGGAGAAGATGCTGGCAAATGTTCACAATACCGAGGATGCTCTCAGCCAACGTTGCCATCTTCAGTACCCTCCCTCAAGTGGGCGATGCGATAGTATACGATAGTCTCGTTCATGCAAGTGTCCATGACGGGATCAAGCAATCCAGAGCATCAATTGCCAAATATTTTACCCATAATGACCTGTCCGACCTCGCCAAGCTCCTTGATGCGGTCAAAAGCGTGTCTCCGATCATCCAGACCGGCAAACGGACGGTCTTCATCGCAATTGAGTCCTTCTATAGCTTGGACGGGGATATGGCGCCCTTGGATGCCTTTATTCAAGTCGCCCAGAAGTCTCTGCCGCAGGGGAACTATGTCTTCACAATTGATGAGGCGCACTCGAATGGAGTGGTTGGGCTGAATGGGGCCGGGTTCGTATCTGCCTTAGGCTTGGAGAAGCATTTTACCCTGCGACTCCAAACCTGTGGGAAAGCGCTGGGCTCGGTTGGTGGTGCGTGATTTTCTGTCCATCACAAAATTGATTCTGACAGAATTTTTTCTCTCTAGCAATCGTCCTCTGCAGCCCTCTTGTGAAAGAAATGTTCATCAACTATGCAAGGAACTTCATCTACACCACCGCTCCACCGCTCCTGAACCTGGTCACCGTCAAATCGGCGTATAAAATACTGGCCAGTGCAGATGGTCAACAGGTGTGTACATTCAACCCATGGCTTTCCGAATCTATTTTTCTGCTGACGAGCCTCTCATAAAGAGAATAGAACGACTGCAGCATAACATCAGATATTTCTTTGAGACCCTACATCAACACCCCGATTGGCCAACTGTGGCGGAGTCCGGTCGTATTCGCCTTCGTCTGGCTCTCAACTGGCAGAAGGCCCCATTCTTGACGCCCATTGTGCCGCTCATCACCAAGCCGGAGCGCTGTCTTGCGTTGAAAGGCTTCCTGGAGCAACAAGGGTTTGCGACCATTGCTTTGCAGCATCCTATTGTGTCTCGTTCGGGGGAGCGTGTGCGTGTGGTGATTCATGCTCACAATACGCAAGCTGAGATAAACTCTCTGGTGGATGCTATCATGCAGTGGGGAAAAGAGGAGGAGACGTCCATTTCCGGATCTCGGAAACGTGCTGCTCAGCCTATGCTATAAGGTGGTTGATAGAGTAGTGTGGCTATCTGGGTTCGCTTTCTCGCTATATAAAAAGACATATTCAAATCTATTTATTCACAACAAACAAGCTTATCTATCTTTGAAAATTTTCCGTGTCTTACTTTATTCTCACTTTACTTTCCACTTTCACTTTACTGCTATTCTTACTTCACTCTCTAATATCCTCATATTCTCTGGGAGCCTTATTCATATATAGAGAGCTTATGGTTCCTGACCAGAATTCTTTTCATCATCTCTCTGGTATCATCTCCGTGCTTGCCTTAGGGGGGGGGGGATCCTGGAAGACTTGGTCTCTCGTATTATGTGCTCTTTATGTCCCGATTTCTCTTACTTCGGTCTTTCAACTGAGCTGGTTGCTATAGGATCTGAAAGCCCCAACCTCGCGAACCATGTGAAAATCATATCCCCTCAATTCGGATCTAATCCAGCCTGATGGCTCAATATTTTTGCTCACACTTATAAGCAGCCCATATGGAAATTTCAGTTTTCATGAACCTGGGTTTCAGCTTGCTCTCTTTCCAGTTTCTTCATCCGGTCTTTCTTTCTGACTCCTCGCGGTGGATTCTTCGGATGGCCACCATATATTCTCCGAGATTGATGACCCGAAATGCCAATAATTGTTGCAGCGTCTTCTCGAGAAAGATCCCAACCTATCTAGATACCACAATAGAGCCCGTTCTATGTTTGATCTTCGAGTAAGTCACCGCTTGAATGATGGTTTCAATATTTGTTCCAATTAACAGGCTCAATGATAAATGAAAGCTTGAAGCAATAAAGGGCGACGAAGCAAGTTGAACAAGTCAAGGAGATCGAAAAGGTCGTCGGTTGTCCCGTGCCAATTGAAGTGTGGGGAATGCTTCTTAGGTGTATCCTATACTCCCATTGGACAGGTCGCGTCTCGAAACCTGCAGTCTACTCAGCCCTCATCGGAGCCATGAGAAGGAATACTGTCCTAGCAAGAGCGAGTTCAAGAAACACTGGCGTCAGACAAACATATAAACAAACAGCGAAGCTCTTGACATGATGATTCTAGACTTTGGCTCAATTTCTGTCGTTTTAACAACGTCTTCAGTTTGTCTTGAGGGCTGTGTAGATATTTTAGGTACACATCCATCTTTTGTAGATTGAGGAAGTCGCTGAGATTAAATTCCCTTGGGTTAGTAGCTTCAGTATCGCCGTATCCAGGTTCCTCGCAGGACTCCTTGCCAGGGGTTCCGATTGGGAATTGAAGCGACCCTAGCTCTGGAGTCTCAATTGAATCCCAAACCCTCGAAGCCAAATTTTTCTGATTCTCGACGGAACTAGTTTCTTGAAGACTTCAATTAGTTTATTCAATAAGATTGATAGTGGACCGCATACCGTAGCTCTTGTTAGCTTTTTGGATTTCTCATTTCACCATGATCAGAGGTAAGATCGATGATGGATGAATATGGATTTAGATAGTTGGTTAAATTACAAACTCAGGAAACTGTGATGTGGACTTTCAAAATAGAAGATACGAGGAGACAAAGGTTTATATATCAATTTTAAAGAATAACGTACTTAGTGCTATTTATTTTACAATGTTGCGATGGATCTCGCAGATCTTGTTAAGAATTGACCCGCAATATGACTCACGATATTCTCGATGAGAAAACTTTTCTCTTTGATCTCTGCATGGAGGAGCCTTCCATATGGAAATCGTTTCGCAATTTCCGATTTTGCTACCTACCTTCAGAGGAACTGTTACCAGATGCTGGACAGAGTATATAGTAGGGACTTTGCCTCTTCGTTGATTCGCGCTACACGGGTCGATTTCTATCCCTAATTTTAAATTCAATTCGAAGATGATCCCTTCTAGCCAAGGAACGCATGAAATCAGACAGGGTTAGTGTTTCATTTTTCATAGAGTGAACGATTTTAAACCAAGATTATCTTTTACGAATTACTAAGTCTCATCAAATATAATAGTCTAAATTGAGACTTAAACAGAACACTTGGCCGGATGGTGTAGTTGGTTATCACGTATCGTTAACACCGATAAGGTCCTGGGATCGAGCCCCAGTCTGGTCACTTTTTTGTGGTTTTTTTTTCTGTCTTCGAAAAAGATTTCGTGCTTGGTTTCGCTCAGCGCAAACTACAAGCTCTAAGCTCCTTTTAGCATTGATATAAGAGTTTTAATGATATCTTATGTCTCTAGTTCAGTATTTCTTCGAATACACTTTCGGATTGGATCAGAGTTTTTGATTGGGAAGTAGCCGGGTTGGAAAACGGGGAAATCCACCGTAGGCCAAGGCCACATATACTTCGTCTTTTTGGATGGATCAATACTAATAGGATTTACTTACTTCTTGAGTTGTAAATTAAATTCATTCTTTACTAGACGTGATGATTCATTGAGGTCTTTCAATTATAACAGGTCGGCGTTCTGTCTACCGGCCTAGGGCTACAAAGCTCTAAGGCTCATGAAAATTCTATAGCGCGAAAATTAATTGATTCTATAGCTTCGAGAAATTAAAAACACTGAACAGGCACAAAAACACGACAAAAAAGAAACAAGACTCCCGCATTTGCGTATGGACAAGGGAAAACTTCGTCAAGAAAAAACCTTGTCTATAATCAAAATATGCCAATTATAGACTCAAGTCAAGTAGACTTCTTTCGATGATTTCCTGGAGATGACGTGCTTCTTCACGACGGTGGCTAACTTGCGGAGATTCTGCTGCCATTCGAGGCAAGTCATCAACCTCGTATCCACTTACAAGGACGGGATCAAAAACCTTCGGAAGCTTTGCAAGTATATGGCGTTAGATGACCTGACGGCAAATATTGACGACAAAAGTCTTCATAGCGACCTGCAATAAGTTTAGAAGAGAAATATGTGAATTGAAAAAGAAAGACTAGCTTTGTAGTCAAGAATTAATTAAAAAATAGTTAGATAAGTAGAATTTTAAATTAATCATATTTATGAACGATAAAAAGTTTGCCGGTCCATAAACAATTGTGGCTAATAAATTCATTCTGTATATTAGAGGGAGGCATGAAGCGGCAAAAATACCGTTTCTTTTCAGTACTGAATTGATTTTGCTTTATAATAAAATACAATACGTCGTGTTTATATTCTAATCAAGTGAATTTTCGAGCTCCAAGTTCTCCCCATATCAATATAATCAATGTTCAAGTTGTAAGAGGATATGGTGATGTCACCACAGATGAATGGTACTCGTAAATCCAAACCATTTCTTCCTCTGCCGAGTCCTGCGCTGAGAAATCCTCTTCACCTTCCTTGTAGATCCATTTACAGGCAGGTTTACTTCCACCAAGAGACTCGATAGTCCCGGCGATACATGAATCAAGAGCATAATTCTCGCCATTATTCCACATTGCTATTGTACCCCATCGGGCGGTATCAACAACAACATCAATATCTGCTGAAACGTCACACTTTGACAGCATGTCGGTAATGTCGGTTTTGATGTTGTCTGCCTCTGGCCAACTTATACCCCACATAGCAAAGATAAACTCATAATACTTGGAACCGTATTTGTCCAAAGTCGTATCTTCGTTTTCAACAACATATTTCGCACAATACTCAGTCACAGTGGGTACAGTGACTGTTGTTTTTGTTGTTGTTGTTTTTGATGTGGAAGTTGTCGATATCGATGTCGTTGTGGTGTAGAGACCGGCTGTGAGAGAGGAGATCTCGGCAGAGTAAAGAGATGAAAATTCCCTGGAGATAGTTGAGGCAAGTGCCTGGAGGCTTGCGATGGGTTCCGTTGTGGCATCCAATACCCCACTGGTCTCGGCGAAAGCTGTGTAAGTTCCAATGGCAATGCCAGCCGTGAGAGTGGTAGAGCTCTCAGTGCTTCTGCTTTCAGTTTCGGTTTCGGTTGTTGTGGTAGCACTTTCGGTGATGGTGGTGAGCTTGTCATCTACGGTCTTGGTTGTTATGTAGGCACTTTCTGTAACAGTAGTCTTGCGAACACTGGTGTCATCATCATCATCACTACCACCGCCGCCGCCTCCACTACCGCCACTAATCTCAATGTTGAGGCCTGGAGGACAAAGCTTGCAGCCACCGTAGCAGTTCCTTGTACCTAAATATTTAGTCCGTAACATTATTCTAGAGCTATTGTCTGTCAATACGATATTTGGGTGGGTGTCATAAACATACAACCTGAGCCGGTGTGCTCATTAGATGAAGTCGGCTTAGGGCCCCAGCTCTTAGAGTTGGAAGCAGATTTCACCGTGGTTTTGACGGTGTTCAAAGTTGGATCGGGTGCCTTATCTGAAGTTGTCGGGTACGCATAGGGTGTCACAGTCGACGTCTGCGGAGGCTGGGTGGTCCCGCCGGTGACATGTGTGGTTTTTCCCCATACGCCAGTCCACGAAGTCGTGCTGTAGGTCACGTTTCCAGAGGAGTATGTGAGCCCTGGCATGACACTTGTGGTGCCGCCAATGATGGTAGTGTTTCCTCCGACCGTTCTACTCAGATTAGCTTTTGGTTTTCTAGGGTAGAGAGTAGAATTCAGGTATGGAACTCACGGGGTCCAAGTGATAGCCGTTGGCGTTGGTACAATCGAGCTAGTCTGCAGGACAGCTGTCTGACCGCCAGTAATCTGCTGATTCCAGACGTTGATGTAGTCAGTTTTCACTGTATCGCCACGTTAGCATTTTGGTTGCGCATGAGGGTACGATCCGAAGGCTAACATGATACGTACCAGGATTAAGGTTGATCACGTATGGGATTAGGACACTGTTGTAATAATGGAAGGTAGTTTTGCTTCCATCAGCCAAGAAGGTAGTGGATGTTCCCTTGGAACTGTAAGTGACATGAGTGCTCCATGGGTCGAAAGAAATGGTAGCGTTTGTTGTCAGAGGTAGAGGAGGCATGACCATCACACAAGGAGGTGCACAGGTAACGGCAGGACTTGCCTCTCCTCAAACTTCAGGATCGATCGTAATTGTTGCTTCAGCCCCTGCACTTGCGGAAGCAGAAGCCTCTGCGATTTCGTTGTCCACAAACTCCGAGAGGTCAATGGCTCAATCGACTGTACCGGCAAAATTCCAGCTCTCATAATATGAGGCACGCTTAGTCTTGGTCTCATTAGTCATATAACCAACCCATTGGGTGTCATTATAGACGATGAAGTCTGTCACATTTCCATCCGAGTAGGACTGTGAGTTGGAGTTTGTCAGAAGGATCTGGTTGATCTCTGCATTTGAAATGTATCCAGCAGTCTCGGTATATTCACCTGCTTCTCCTGCAGCATTCCACGTGCAACTGGCATATAGCAGCCCTCCTCGGACATCTCGAATGAACGACCATAGCTGGCAACTCCTGCCATGATTTGGCTGGTTCCAATTCCACTCTTAGTCAACATAGCCAGAGCCCATTCGGTCTCTGTCATATTGATGTGGGAGAAGGGGCAGTCACCGGCTGTACAACCCTCATCGGCCCATTCATTTCCCTTATCCCAAATTCCATGCAGATCGTAGGTCATGTAATTGATGAAGTCCACAGCCTCTGATATTTCAGCAATAGGGAAGTTCTGGAGATACCAGTATGAAGCTGGAGCGGTAACCGTCAGAAGTTTATCACTGGGAAGTGCTTCTCGCATAGCTTTAAGGAATGCAAGATAGTTGTCTCCCTCATCGTCGCTTCCAGCTGGAATACCGTCAATATCTGTCTCGCCTGGATACTCCCAATCAAAATCCACACCGTCGAGGCCGGTCTCATTGACATAGGCGACCACATTTGTCACCAAAGTAGACCGATACGTAGCAGAAGTACCCTCACGGAAGATCATATAGGTATCCACGCCGGTAGAGAAATCCCAGCCACCAAAGGACATCATACGCTTCACATTCTTAAGGTCCATGAATTCTGATAGCTGACTCTCATACCCATAACATTGATCTCGAAATCGGTAGTGATGTTGCCAAAGGCAAACATAACATGAGTATATTGAGATGTGTCGATCGAGACAGCGTCCATCTGTAGACATGGGCGCTCAAGACTGCTCGGTTCCCAGTAGCCGACCTTAGAGAATGAAGAAGGAGAAACCGCCCAGTTGGTGATTGTGGTTCCGCAATTAGAAATACATCCATTCGTTCCATTTGCCGCTGTTCCAGGGTTGTTATCTGCAGCGAAAGTACGATTGCAGTAGACTGGTGTAATACCGCACTGACCATACGAATCGCAACAGGCATTCAATGGACAAGGGTTATAGCTCTCCCAGTCACCCGAATCGGTGCTGTTGAAAATAGTGCCCGGAACCTGAGGTCCACAATCGGCATTGGCAATCGATTCTGGATAGGGAGGATTGCCCGAAGACAAACACATAGACTGGCCAGCTTGTAGCTCGCTACACCCATACCAGGCCCATGTTGCGTTGTTGTAGGTCTCAATTTCGGCTTCGGTGAGACTGTATGTACTTGCCAGACTCGAGCAGCTGTCTCCTGACTGTACACTATACGTGTAGCAGGTGCCATTTAAATAAGCAGATAGTGCCAAGTCGGGTAATGAGCCGGAGGAACAGCACACGTACTGACCCACAGTGAGTGTTGAGCAGAGATCTGATGCAGTATTGTAATCGTAGAACTCTGTGAATGTGATTCCGCATTCGGTGACCAGCGATGAACAACTGTCCCCAGATACGACTTGAACATATGAGCATGTATCAGTTCTGCGTTTGTGGGTGTGAGAAGCATGATGGCCATGCAATCCACGCGATATCCGGGAACGAGTTGAAATGGTTCCATTTGCCTGGTTGGCGCCAACCTGGAAGGTAAGAGAGGTACCGACGAATGTCTTCGAATCAAAGCTAGACAAACATCCTCCCTTGTGCCAGGTTTTGACATATTCTTGAACTGTTGGAATATCCCCATTCAGATCAACCGCTATGCCGATCGTTGTATTGGCACTGGCACCACAGTACTGAATTGCACCAGCGCTGTACTTTGAGGCAGAAAGAAAGTTTTGTAGTTCTTGAATGGCAGATTCGACATTGGCAGCCTGTTGGAGGCTCTCTCCCAGGTAAATTCCAGCGGCCACTTGATTAGAGTAGCCGAAAAGTTCAGGTTTTTCAGGATTGCCAATCAAATAAGTCTTCAATGCCTCCAGAAGCTCAGAGTAATCGGCGTCTGCGGATGTAGAAGAAACTGGGCCCCAACCGCCCACCTAGTATTTGACGGCCGCTGAGGATGTGGACGAGGTTGTTTTGACAGTCGACGAGCTTTGCAGTTTCTCGAGATCACCAGAGGCGCAGACACGGAGGGTGGAATGCGAAGATGGGTCTTCCAAATCATTGAAAATGTTGAAATCAACCAGCATAGTCTGATTACACCGAGTGACTTGAGGGACACTATGAAAAGCGAACCAGTCACCTGGGTTGTAACTAGCGCAGGTGTCTGGACAAATTGCTGGTCGTCCAACGCGAGCCGCAAGGGTATGACCAGCAAAGGCACTGAGTGCCAGAATGCTGGTCGTAGCTCCCTATAAAGAGTACATTGGCACTGGTTTTATGGTGGCCTTGAGAGAGGATGCAATGATTAAATCACCATTCGCAGAGGAAGTCCTTCACAGACAGAAGTCAACAAAAGGAATGAACAAATAAATGGATAAAGGTAATGGATACTTTTGATATATCCGAAGTCGGACAAAGAATGATTTTACCTCCAAAGGAAAGGCAGGCCTGCTTCCAGGCTCTTATAGAGAATCGACTCGGATGGATATTGGAGGACGGAAATCTTGTAATTAAATTATTACGCGATCCGTAAATATTCCAATGCCAAGACGCTAAGCCTGATATATCCATCACATGATCGAGGTTTTCCTCAGTTGATTCCCCCCATGCCTTACCCCCCGGTTGGGCGAAGATCGGTTCGTCTTCAGTGCTCCTGGAAGGTGCGCCCTAAGTGGGTCCGTAATACTGAAGGCTATGGCGCCCAGGGGAGTTTCTATGGCGAATCAAAAAAGAAAGGTAAACACTAACGCCTAGGCATAACACATTCAGCCTACCAGAACTCTCCACGCATAAGCATCATTTGACCTGAGTCACGTCGGAAAATCCAAAACATTTATAGAAACCCAACTCGAAAAACCATAAGGGAAGTAGTAATAAAACCCTAGCCGCCTCACTTGTCCAAGTGAGGCAGACGTCGTGGAAAGCGGGATTTGAGCCTCTTATAATTTCCAAATATTATATAACAATCATAGGTCTTTCGTGTGGTGGTTTTCTTTTCTTTTCTTTTCTTCTTCGTTTTTTTTGGACTTTTCGTCTCCATGTCGACTTGGCTCGTGTAAATCATCTTATACCCAGGCATCCTCTAACGCTGCACAATATTCTCTTTAAGATCTGAAATTCATTCTCCGACTTGATTAACTCTCGTAGGTTACAGGGCAGATCTTTTCCTTCTGGATCATCTATAAATATTAATATAGCGGACTGACTGTTTGTGATCAAAGACTGAGAAAGCCGCAGGGCTACCAAGATGCCTAACAGTGAAGAAGAATATGATACGCCCAGGAAACAGTCCAAGGTCGTCTCGATACTTGTGTCAATTGTGCGATTACTGCAACTTGGCTTCGGCGTTACAGTAATAGGCCTATACGGCAAAGACGTCCACAGCGATCTTCAAGATAAGCATATGTGGGAGCCTAAATGGGGCTTCGCCTTAGTTCTCGGCACCCTGGCAGCGAGCACTGCTATGATACATCTAATCTTCAGCTGTTGCGCTCATCGGAAGGGGTCATCCCCTTATCCAAATTGGAGAGTGCCCTCGATTATATGGGAATTTGGCTTATCTGCTTTGTGGTTGGCTCTATTCGGTATATTCACCACAATGTACCTCTCGGCAAAAGTATCGGACCCGGGATCTGACTTAGGGGATTCGTCAAAGATCCACCGGATGCGTGCTGCGGCCTGGATTGATCTGGTGAACGTTTTTCTATGGGCCTACACTACATCGGCGGCTTTTTTGTCTTACAGGAACACCACTCTTACCCATGAACAATGGGTCTCTTCATATCCTTCTCAATCCACTCCACCTGTCCACCCTAGTTTGAGCCGCTCACGCAGTGTGGATTCGCATGCTACTTCTATCGCCTTGGCTGAACAGTTTTGGGCCGAAATCGGAGTGGCCGACATCCAAAGTCCAGCTCTTACCTCTCAACGTCATCACAGACACTCAGATCGCAGCTCTGGGCACTATTCAGAATACAGTCAACCAGAAACTGCTTATTCGCCCCAGATGGCCACACACCCACCGGCCTTGACGATGCTCTGGCAAGTTTTTGAAACTGAAAGGGACAACCAAGATCCGACTTGTACTATCTGCCGGGAGGATGTGGACTTACGGGCTTTTGTCAAGCTACTGTCTTGTGGTCACTGGTTTCATCCGAGCTGCATTTCTCAGTGGTTAAACGACAACTCTACTTGTCCTATTTGTCGTGAGCATGTTCATTAATGCCGTGGAAATTTTTTAGGGTCAGATGATGTGCCCTAGGTTATTTTAGCGCTTGTATATCAGATAATAATCCCCTTTTTATATGATATTTGTAACATTAGAGGTAGAAATTAGCCCGCATTCGGCGTACTTATACCTAAATTGTCGCTCGCTTGGCGATATTCGAATATCTTGACTGAGAACGGTGAGCTCCAACGAACCGCTACTCAACACCGTAGAAAATCCACCGGGTGTAGTGGATGCTACGATACTGAATATTGCGATTGTTGTGAAGTCTGCTTTTTCATTGATGAAAGAACTAGCTACTTATAGTATATGGGTGCCCCTCTGCTCTGGACGAATGTCAACATTCGTCCGAGACAGAAGAGACGGTGAAGACGGGACATTACTGTCGCGAATGCACATCGCTCAAGGGTGTCGTTTGCGATGAATGCATATCGTTCAAGGATGCCGTGATATACTAATCCAGTTCCGGAGTCGCTGTCTCGGCAGAAGCTTTTTCGGCCGAAATACTTTCCGTCTGTTGATGGCCTTGTTTCTCGGCTGTCGCAACATAAATCTTCTCTATTTTAAACAATTTCTTAGCCACCTGTACAATTAGTGAACAGTGATGCGAACCCCGAGCAAAAAGGCATTCTGGGAAGTTATGAACATGATGACTAGATGATTCTCGCGTCGAACAAAGTTTCTTTTTCTTTTCGTTCGACTTCCTAGCATGGCGTTCTCCGCTCATAAGTTGTGGTGACTTTATTCTCAGCAGAGGACAATTTGCATAGCATTGCGTATTCTTTCTAATTTTACAGACCCTACGACCCTTCAGGTTGTTTCATGATGTTTTAGTCCTTTATCATCATTCCATGGACATTTCAACTTCACTGCGTGACTTTGACTTTGATTTTTTCGCCTTGATTTATACATACTCATCCTTAGAGATGTTAGTCCGCAAGTTTCCGCACATTTTGACCCTTGCGGATGCGGATCTTGACAAAAGTTGCGGATAGTTCCGCAAGTTATGTCAAAGGACCGATTCCCAATTTAGCTTAGTGCATTATTAGTCAGATTCCTTGGTTTAGTATAAGAACACCCGGTCCCCAGGACCCCTTTCCCTTAGTTAATTCTTCTTGTTTACCAATCGGATCTTTACAGTATACAAATTCCTGCATTCATCCCGTAACACCTACCACATCAGAGATTTAAGTCTTAGACCAAATTACCTAACCTGGAGGATGTTAGAGAAATGATAGAGTTTTAGGCTTCAACTGCCTTGCATCAGGGATCTAGACTGAATCTGACTGAACTTGAGAGGGGATTTAGGCGGTTCAACAGCTTAAATTGGCCCTAAAAACAGGCCAGCTTGCATCTATGAGAGGGTGAAAGCTGAAGGGGTGTCAAAGGACCGATTCCAAGTTTAGTTTAGTGCATTATTAGTCAGCTCTAATACATTCTTTACTGCAGCAAATTTTACTGCAGCGAATACACACACACATATTTTGACTACTCTGTTCCTATTTGCTCGCACGAATCCACTATACAGGTCCCATTTGACAGTGGTTTAGGCTTGATTCGGCCTAGTTTGGTGTGGTTTGTCGGGTTTGCATTCAGAACACAGCTCGGCCCGAGCCGGCCGTCCGGAATACATCTCGGTGGAGTGGCGAGCGTGTTTTGAATTCCCTGTTGCAGCGCCGTGGACCGCAAAGTACCTCTTTTGTGTTCAGGCTTAGCTGGAACAAAATATAAAGCAATTCTTGCTGTGAAAATGCAATATAACGTTATTGTCTATATCCTTACTATGGCGTAGTCCGCAGACTCTGTTCGTGCAAGACTAATGGCTGGTTCATATGTTGGTTCGCCAGTAGGGATGGATCGGGCGAGTTCGGCTACATCTGCGCTTACGCGCCATGCCATTGTTTCGTCTGACTCAAATAGCGTTCCTATCCGGGTGCGACGGCTGATGGTGTAAGATTCCTGGGATTCGTTGACTGCTTCGACGAAAGGGAAAGATTGGTCAACGAGATGGGTGTAAAAGGATACTACTGGGTTCCGCCCTTCGAAAATGAAGCCGCGTGGTGGTAGCGGCTCGTTGCATCTTACTGGAATTTTGGCGTATGAGTGGGGGGGTATGACGACTTTTTCATTTGCATAGACGGCTCGCTCATGATGATGGTTTGGCTTAGCATGTATATGAATTGGCACTGTTATGCCCATGCAGCTCGAAATGCGCGCAGTTTTAGCGTCAAAGTCGAGACGGAAGCCCTCTTTGCCCATAACATCCATACCGATAAGTAGTAAAGCTTTAAGGTCGGACACCAGGTGTGCCTCGACGTCTAACTTGGCGATGTTGTCGGTTCCGCGGAGGAATAGCTGCAAATCGATGTAGCCTTCGGAGATATGCTTAGAGCCTATACCAGAAACTGCTACTGGCTTACAGGTGCGAATAGGGACGCCAAGTGATTTTGCGAGAGCGGCGTCAATGATTGTCATTTTGCAGCCTGTATCTAGGCACGCGACGATTTGTGAATTCGCATTTTGTATGCCAATGATTGTAGAGGCGAATTTCCATGAACGATAGCCTTCCCCTGGTGGTAGGTCTGTTCGTGGACGTGTAGAAGATATAGTGGGTAAATGGGTATTCTCGCTGGAACTATCTATGGTATAAAATGCATGGGTAATGGAAGCGTCGATATGATGTGGTTTGCAGAGTAGTAGATGAGCATGGAGTTTGTTATTAGATATAAATGAAGAGAGGCAGTGTAAACAAATATAAGGGGAGCCTGGTTGCGGATCAGGAGCTGCGACGTACGCTTCCGCTATGTACGTCGGTTCGCGAAATCCGCTGCGGCGTGAGCGCCGTGAGCGCTATAGTCCTCATCGTAGTAAGGGTCGTTCTCCTCAGGGTAAGCAAGATATGCGTCTGCTGTTTCGACACCTCCGAGGCCGTCTTCTGCCATCAGCCAAGCGTCTTCGTCGGGGGCGTCGTCTGGTACCTCTGTCATATAGGCAGTGGGGCGTCGATTCTTCTATTCGGGCTTTGTCGAAGCTGAGGATGTCGCGCCGGTGCCATTATTTCGGGGCCAGGGTGTTGCGGCCAGGAGCTTTTGTCCTCGTGTATTCGTTGTTGAGGTGGAAGTATCAGCGCTTTTGGTTTGTTGCTGTCCTTGATGGATCTGCTTTTGTTGAGCAACGTATTGGTCGCGAGGCAACCAGGGGCGGTTAGGCTATTAATGTTGGGTTTGAGGCGTGAAACGACTTAGTCTTTTAGCCTCTAGGCTATGCCGCGCAGATTAGCTGCTGTACGTAAAGTCAGGGTGTATTATACTAAATACTGAATACAATCCTATTCTCCTATCATTTACATATTTGAATATATTGATCACATAGCTATATCTATAATAATGGTAGAGATATCAGTGGTTGAAGTAATTATATATATTTAGGGTGGGTGGGGCTAAATCCCGACTGTCCGAAAATTTATTTTCCATAACGTAAGTACTAGTAGTAGAAGTAGTTTACACTAGTAGTAGTAGTATGCAAACACAACGGAGTCATTTTCTTTCTCTACTAAACACAACTACTTACTAAAATAACCACAAATGCCGACCTAAGCGATATTGGAGGGGCAATAAAGGAATATATCGGAAATTAAAGATTAAAAAATTGTAAAAAATATAAATGAAATAAAATCATCGATGAAGGGGGGAGAAAGGCTCCGAGTCGTCTTTCTCTCTTTTGCATAAAGAGGCCCCTCGGTTATTCGTACAGAATATTATAATCACATCGAATTGACATTTGAGAAGTCCCATTTTCGCCAACTCACCCTCCGCTACCATGCTGGGACTAAGGGCGATATTTTCTTGGTTTACCTTATGCTTGGTAGGTAGCAATGTTGCAGCAGTCACTATTGATGAATTATTCAGCACCCCAGCCAATTCTGCAACTGCCTATGGGACCTGCAGTAACAACCTAACGAGGTTGAACGAATATGCTTCGGACTTCACAACACTTTGTACCCAGCTGGACAATGCAGTTCAACTGGCTAAGACACCAGGGCAAACACAGGCGAAACTCGTCGCACGTCAGCTCTTTACTGCTTGGTTTGGCATTCAATTCAACACCGATGGATCCGTCAAGTCTGGAAGTGAGACTGCGTGGAGGGTTGTTGAAGGTAAGTCATCCATGGAGATTACTAGTACTCAAATGAGACAACTGCTTGACCAAATATCACGTCTGCAATCTCTAGTCTCGCTCAGTGGAGATTATCAGGCTCACACCTTTCCTGCAAACCTATTTTATAATGACTTCGGATACTTGCATTATTGGGATGATGTTGTACTCAATTCTCAAGGAGTTGAAATGGATCCAGATTTCACCATCGAAGACGTCTACATGGACTGGGTTGCAACCTTACCATCTGGTCAGCTACCATATTGGGTTCCCTCGATCAGCAAGTATTATATGATGTCCACCGGGACATTCAGGGGCAATGGAGGTACTGACTTATGCGGCCCTGGTGGATTGGAGGGACTTAACTCGTTTGGTAGTCCTTTGAGTACAACGGTTATGTGGTCAAACGCTCAGTCGCAAGATTATTGGGTTGTTCGAGAGGCCATTTCGGATTTTGTTTTAATCTGCGCTAATGTGTTGGCTGACGGTGTAGCTAGCGCTTACTCGTATGGCTATACTACACTGAGTGATATTCCCCTTTTTGCCGTGAGTAGCACTGCCCCAATCCAACTTCACAAAGTGAGGCCTAGATCCGCTGTATTGCTCCACGAAATCCTGCACATGGTGAGCAGGTGGGATGGGTCTGGGGCAACTGCGCAAAGCGGAGCAACTATGATTCTGGATTATAAGTGTGAGTACCATTTGATTATTTACCCTGTTCCCTCGCGGCCTTGCACAAATACTGATCCGAGTCCTCCACTCATTACAGACGACATGGTAGACTGTCTCTCGTTCGCGATACAACCTCAACAAGTGACTATGAATGGTCAAACTGTGACAGCATATGCTTATCTTAATACCGAAAACTATGTCTATTTTGCGTTGGCTTGGTGGTACTATAATAGAAGAACGGATTGGCAAAGCACGACCCCGGCCACCTTCTATGCTGGATACCTCCAGGAATGGACCGGTTTCTAGATAAGGTCTAGATACGATCTCTGGGAGGTGTTGATGATACAGCTTCAATTGAAAACTGGGGAATTGCCAGTGGTGCTTCAATGGATAAAATATTCAAATGTTGTGTACTACGAGTATCATTCTCTCTGCTACTAGCGGACAAATTGATCATATTTGAAATTGCAATTATATTTTCGATGACTACAAAAGTCTATAAACGGAAATTCTGAATAGATACAGCTTGGAATCCATTTACTTAAAATTGCTTTTCAACTTTTTTTCGCCCCTTTGCTGATCTAGTGTGGGCTGTCGGCTATAGTACTAGTAGAGCTAGAAATTGAAGCTAGACCCAGTTCGGCTGCATTACTTGAGCCCACGACGCCATTAAATTCCAAGGTTACCTGATTTACCCCTCATCGCAGTTCAAGTTGCAGATCCACACTAGTCTACTGGCACATGGCCACTCGGGCTGAAGAGAGGATTTTCGGTACGGCTTTATATCGGTACCGGGTGAACAAATTCCCCTCCTGCCATTCTCATTCTCTCATTCTCATTCAAACAATCCTTCGCGCTCTACGTGATCGCAACTACAACGTGACCAATATTGCATGACTTAAAGTTGCCCAACAGGCGCAATATGTCAATCACAAACCTGCCTTTGGAGTTGTTGACTCATATCTGTGAGGATCTGGGACCTAAAGATTGGGGCGCGTTCCGGACCACTTGCCGCCAAATCCACGACAACACACTGGAAGCCTATACAACGCGATATTTTAGAAAAATCACCCTTCTTCTCACATGTGAAGGGCTTGACCGGCTGGAGCAGATTGCAACCAGTAAAACTCTTTGCAGCTCGGTCGAAGAAATTTGGATCATCCCAAACTTGTTGGAACCTTGGGCACAATTGGACAAGGCTACTTTTACAAAGGTAGATCCTGGGAGACATTTAGTGAAATGTCAGCGCCTTCCAACAACAGAAGAATCGAATGATATGAAGGTTGAGCTTGAAGCTCTATTTGCTGTCTTCGACACTATAATGAAAGAACACAATAAGATTCTCCAATACTCGGGTCTCTTTAACAGGCTTGAAAAATGCCTACCGCACCTCAAAAACGCTGTTAACCTTGGCTTACGGTCATACCCGACACGTTTCCTACTTAAACATGCAAGTCATACTGACTTCACCTGCATGGGATTGCGTGAATTTAAGAGCCAGTTCAAATACCAGGACTTTCCATCGCTTAACCAGACTATGCCATACATGCCTTATGGTTTAGCATTCTCACAAATTCTCAACGCCATAATCAAATCTAGTCGGAAAGTCCAAGCTCTTCACACATGTAGCCATGTCTATTGCGGTATGAAATTGGAACATATTCAACTATCAGAGGCCCAGCATCAACAGCTTCTTCCACTCTTAAAGGGTCTGACGACTCTCCATATGTGTATCCGCCTTAAAGATCACAAACAAGAATTTTTCGATGAAGGCACCTTCAATCGTCTCCTTAAAATTCTGTTCACAGTTTCATCGACACTAAAGACCCTGACTTTTGCCCAATGGAGTCCTATAGAAGAATTATCTCCTCTCTACTTCAAGGATCTCGCTCAGAAAGTTCAATTTTCCCAGCTAGAGAAACTCAATCTCCATTCAATTGAGGTGACAGTGGATAGCCTCGAAGAGTTTCTGCGGACAGCAGCCCCAACCTTGAAACGACTAAGTATCAGGTTGGTTAGTCTGGTTGATGGGATAACATCTGCACCAGCCCTAGGACCCCTAACGGAAAACAGTCAAAGTTGGGTCTCTTCATTGTCCACTGAGGTCAAGACTGAGATACAGGGGCTCTGGCGGCGTGTTTCCAAATTTTTGGCAGATCATCTCAAGTTGCAATACATCGAAATGTCCGAGCTTGGGTATCGAGGAAGATTGATTTTATTGAAAGATCCCTTGTTTATGGAACGCGGGCAGCCGGGCGCAATGCCTTCTCCTGGCCTGAACCCCTCAGATTTCTATTTTGACTCTGAGAAGGCGAGTGTACTTTTCAAGGAATGGGTCACGCAGCTTCAGATAGAGATGTGGCATCGGGTAACCTTTGGAGGCCCTAAGCTCCCAGGTACCAGCAACATGCGCCAAGTACAAGTACGCCCGGGAATAAGTAATATCGCTGCTTCGGTATGTGTGTATCCGAAACTAAACTAATATACAAGAGTTCGGATTTAGAGTTATGTCGTTTTATACATGTAACCAGGTAAACTAAATCTGGAGCTATGATTATAGTGATCTCCCGCTCTCCTTTAGGAGTAAGTATAATACTCCTAGTCCCCTAAGCTCTTCGGCTATTAGGCTATATAGTTCTCCTCGGCCGCCCCAGAGTCGCACTCGGCTTTCGACGACTTATACTATGTCTGGATAGCTAGAACTCTGTATCACATAGGCTATGAATAGTGAAACATCGTTGTATTGGTACTGATTGCCCGGCTGTATGGCATTTTTTAGCCGGAATATTCCCATATATAATATTCCGAGGCGAATTTTCTCCAGCTGCTGCTATCTTTCACAATCGATGATGAGATTGTAAAGATGAACGAGCGAACGTGGCTGCAGTAAGCTTAGAGCCTTGTGAGGGAAGGGGGTTCGCTGGATGGTTAATTCTGAGACACTAGTTTTCTCTCCACTAGTAGTAAAAAGCGATTCACGGCTGCTCTATAGATCTTGAACAATTTGAGGAACTTGAAGCTGCTGAGACGAGCGTGTGATAGCTTTTTTGACGGAAGACTGACGAGAGCCACGGACTTTATTGGGTATGTGTTTGTATATGTTCTTTGATATCTTGATCGTGTCCTGCCCAACATGAGAGATCATATCTGTAATGCATTGCCCGACAACATTTGACCTACCGCATCATTCCAGAATTGGTTCTGGTCCAATTTGTCTTTTCCTTCTCTTTCTACCCTATTGCAAGCAGAGAGAATTGGGTTCGCTAGCATTTTGCTCTCTGTGATGCCCATAGTGTTGTTTTTGGAGCTTATGTTAGGTATGAGAACAAGTCATTGGGGTATCTACAGAAGTTCCGACGGGGCGGAGGGGATGGTGCGACAGATGGTCTGCTGATTCATGGACTAGCGCCCCATTGGTTTGCAGTCAGTCCAGTGCGGAGAAGGAATTAAAGAAGAAAAAAAGAAAAAAGAAGGGAGTTTTACTTTCCGAGAAATAGTGAGACTCAAAACCTAATAGAGTCCCATAAAGGTGCTTTGACTCCTTACCATATGACAAACTTTGAATATTATGCAGGAGCACAGCTAGCATGATTTATTGGTGGGTCGCATGGAAAGATTGAGAGGCTTTACCTCATTGGGGATAGCTTTTCTGCGCAGAAGACCTAGCTCGAATGAGGAATAGCTTAGTTAGACTAAAATGACATGAGACTCACGCCCCTGCATTCCTGTTAAGTTGACATTTTCACCTACGGAGGCCATCTAATTTCGAATATTAACCGAGTCAGGTATATGCTTCAAAGTCAAATATAGATGGCCTCGCTGACACCTGAAAGTGACCTACACAAGTCTTTGCAAGGTCAATCCAAGCGTACATGTTACTCGCTATCTAGCTGCAACCATCTGATATTATACAGATATACGTGGCCTATGAACAAAATGACGAAGGTAGATTGCCAGTCTAAACGATAATTTCTTAGGCAAGCTATCACAGTACTAGCACTCCGAATCTGCAATCCTTCATCAGTTCAGTACAAGATGGGGTAGAGCAGAAAGTCATGCGAGATCTTGAATTCCTGAAAAGAGACTTTCTCTTTTGTCATTCCCTGGTATGATTGATGAACTATCTCTCAAACTGCATGAGCGCTTGGCTGTCTAAGGAAAGCGCTCAATTCCTTAGATGGTACACCTGATGACTCAAAATGCTAAGTGATAGCTGGTGGCTTCAACATAGTTGGGCGGCTGAGAGTCTCGACTAGTGTGCAGGCTGTGGCGGACAGAAGTGCGTCATCAACCTGATCACATTCCTTTAGGCACTGGCAAGCCTGTTGAACCTTCGCGCGTCTGGGCCGAGCGATTTCTGGGGAAGAGCTGACCATTGCGGGCCAGCTTGATGTGGGTGAAGGTAGTAGGATTGATCGAGTAGTAAGACAACACTCGATAAAGCCTGCTTATATTAATTAGGAAATTGGTTGAGAAAAACTGGACCTTAAACAACGCTTACAACCTGTAGTTGGGATTCGACCTAGAATATCTCGATTGGGTGCTGTATCAAACTGTTTCCATACTTTGCTATGATGACGGCTAGTCCATGAATGCTGTTGTTGCATTAGACGCCACCAACTACAACTGGGACCAGTCGGAAAAGAGGAAAGAAGAGAACCATCAGCGAGAAGACTACTCAATGAAGAGTTAGAAATACGCGATATTAGCAATTTGAGAATATGGGAGAAGGCATACACAATTCTCCTAGAATCAGGATCTATTGTCAAAAGATAATCGGACCTACCACCCAGCTCCTCAGCGTTCCGAAAGAGGGGATAGCTTAAATCCCTTATCTCAATTTCCAACCTTGTCTGAACAAACGAAGTTGTTCCTGTGACTATTTCCAGGTGGCTCTGAGGACTAGAAAAAAGATCTCGCCATGTAGAAGCCTTGATAAGGTCAAGACTGCCAGTGCTTCTCGGAAAGAGAAGTATCACAATTTCGTGATGACGCTTCCGGACCGCAAGTTGGAGCGGGTTTCATGGCCTTTGTCAAGCTTATCAGGAAGAGCATTTTCTTCAAGAATATTAGTAATAACAGACGTAGCGCCTACCTCTACTGCAAGATGGAGCGGTGTTCGCCCCTCGCTACTACCTTGAGCGTTAATGTCCGCGCCATTCTGAAGAAGTAGCTGGAGAATCTTTGTGTATCCCCTGGATGCCGCCGCCTGAAGAGCGTTCCTATAGTAGCCTCCTAGTGCGTTGACATCCGTGCTTTTTTGAAGAAGTAGCTGTACAATCTCTGTGTGGCCTTTAAATGACGCCGCCCGGAGAGAGTTCCCATACCAGCCTCCTAGTGCGCTGACGTCCGCGCCATTTTGAAGAAGTAGTTGTACAATGTCTGTGTTTCCTTCGAATGCTGCCGCCTGGAGAGCGCTCCCATACTCGCCGCCTTGTATATTGACGTCCGCACCATTCTGAAGAAGTAGCTGTACAATATCTGTGTTTCCTCTAGATGCCGCATCCAGAAGAACGCTTCCATCCTGGTCTCCATTGATGTCCACGCCTTCATCAACAATCTGTTGCACACTCTCATTCCTTCCCGTATATATAGAGTTGCAGGGTTCCATTTCCTATGACCAGATCGGTAGATCGCCAGAGGGGCGACGGTTTTGCTATAGCGATCTCCACAGCGTTGAGTTGGGGTTTCTATCGATAGTTAGAGTAATACATATTTTGATTTTAGAGATAGTTAGGAATCCCTTTAGAGGGATGGTTATAGATAACCGCCTATGGAGTCCATAAACAACACTGCTGAAAGCCCAAGTATGCCGCTTACCTGGAATTGAGGCAGATATATGGTGGTCGTGTAATGAATCGTTTCCACTGGAAATTCGGGCCTTCAAAGTCGATACGGGGGTTGGTTGAGGCAAAATGCACGGATTTTGTTGATGCGACGTCTTAACGTACTCTCCTGAACTTTCCCATGACAAAATGAGAGAGCTACCCGGGGGAGAGTGGCGCCTAAAACATAGCACCAGAATAGTATGAGGATAGAAAAAATGTCTAGTCGTAGCTTTATTGTTATTGATTTTTTGGGACGTCGTACAGAAGATCAGCGGTATCGGAAACCATAGGAAAGTAAAAGTTTTCCAGCATATAATCAAGCTTCAAGGCGCCAGGTAGCCCTCCCACGTGATTGACAGAGATCTATTGGGGGCCCGGGGGTTTCTAAGGCGCTTCAACAAATTCCAGTACAGATGTGACCGCTCATGCATCAGTTTGCTGCTCAAACCCCCTCCGAGCAACAACGACATTGAAGGCAGCGTAATGATACGAGAAGTGGCTTTAGCCTTTCAAAACTTAATCATTGATATGTTAAGCCTTATATGATAAACCATATCGCACCTTGGTAAAAAACTCTTCACAGTATGTTGCAGGCAGACGATCGGTGGGGGAATCAAAATACTGATGATACCACTACTTATACCTTGAAAATAAGGCGGTTCTGGGTCACCCGATTTACACTTCATGGAAAAATATTGCCAGGAATATTGTGATCTAGTATTTAACTCATCTTTCCAATGGGATTGTAATTTTAAATCAGATTTTTGCCTCTCAGAAACTTCAACAAATATCAACCACAACCTACGGTAGTTGAAATCCGTAATAAAATGAGCTTACAAAGACAATATCGAGGCTATGAATCAGGGGATAAACGGGCAAATAAATCAGAAAAGGCCCGCCTTAACAGATAATGTCAAAGGAAATGAGTTATCCGCCTCTAGTGTCCCAGCCAGCTTGCGGTCCGGTTTTCCCTTTATCCAAATGGGCCTACGAGTCGGTATATGTCGGTTTACAGGGATCTCGATGCAATATTACTACCACGCTGTTACGTAGAGTAAAATCCCGGGATGGAATTGGATATACATTGGTTCCAACAGTATATGTGTTAGATGTGCCTGTGGCAAATAAATGATTATTCTAAATGCTATTTTCAGCACCCGCATCGTCCATATCGATCTTAAAAAGATATATCCGCACACCCTTCTTCCACAAGACTCTGCTATAAGATATTATGGTAGACCGAGTCGGAAGAGATCATCGAATTCCTATCCAAACCCTAAAGTCACACAGTGCAACTCACTATCAGGGATTCAATGCGAGCAGACCGTGCTATTGTTTTGAAATCGGCAAACTATCCTGGCACTAATAGAGATAAACTCTTTAAAGCAAACTAAAACCATAAGCATGCAAGCATAAAGTACATGTTCAGTTTGTACTCAGCGCACAAATGCTAAAAATGCGACAGCGATTCTGGATAGGAAAGGGTATAAATAGTTAATTATGTAGTAATAAGGTGCATTTGAATTCCGACAGAAAATGCGAAGTAATCGATACTTTCATACACATAAAAACTCGAGATACATCAGTAAGTTGTCAACTTTATCATCAACTAGAAAGGGACAGATTTCCTTCAAAAGGTATTACCGCCATTGAAATTACCGCCGTTGATCATATTCTTTCCAGCATAGAAGCTGCCACTGAAAACTTGATGGACTGGCGATGGTGCCGACGGATCAGGTTCTTTGTCGCCTAATCTATCATCGACCCGTCTTCCAACCCATTCCTTCAGTATGCCTTTTGTACAGGCAGCAGCGGTGGTAGCTGCATAACTCTGCCACTTCTTATTTTTATGGCTATCCGCATAGTCACACACTCCTTTAACCACGATAGTCGGAATCGTATCCCACAAGCCAGCCCCTTCCATTTCGAAGCCGATCACATCTTCTTCTTTGGCAATGTGGTCGCGGTGTAATCCATATTTTATAACTTGATCACCTGAACCCAGTCCACCAAAATGGATTTCAGGACAATAGGTCTGAGCGCTATCACCTTCAGCGTCTATAGCCTGTATCCGAGCTCGACTTACAACCTGGCTGAAGTCACACCCAAGCTTGGTGCAAGACATCTGTAAGGCCTCGTTGCAGACAGCATCACCAGGATTTATGCATCGGCTACAAACTACACATGCCTTACTGTCCGCATGCTTATGCCTATAGCTTGCCTCAAAAAGTTTATCCTCAGTAGTACCAGGATAATTTCCTGATTCATCAAGTTCCAATCGCATTGAACCTTTGATATTAGTCTGAGCTTCTTGGAGCTTAGACAAGAAGCCGCCAATCTCCTGGTTCGGTCTTCCAAGATTGTCTTGTATCGTATTCTTGCGGGTGAAGCGGTCCGTGTTTAGCCTTCCAAAATCGCTTTGGACAACGTGTGTACTGATGATAACGTCTCCTAGCATGGTCTCACGATTGCCGCTTCCATAAAGGGGCACCCCGCCGCATATACCGACCAGTAAGCCCATTCGGACTTTTTTTAAAACTGGATCGCAAATTGGTCCCGGCACTAGCTGCTGCTGCCTTGCCTATGCGAGGCATATGGACTAGCACCACAGGGTGTTGATGAATCCGACCGAAAGAATAGCTATTTGTGTCGCTATCACACTTCCCATACTCTACTTCCTGCCAAATTTCATCGAAAACTGCAGTCATCGCGACAGCTTCAAGGGGTAGGGCACAAAAAATGGCAACATCAAAATCATCATTATCTCGAGGTCGTGGGTATTTGTTGTTCGACATGGCTAGGTGTCTTGGTCCGGACGTTAAAGAAGCTCTGGTGCCCATGTATTATGATGAGAAATACAGCGAGTGAGCTTGGGAGGTGAGCAAAAAGTGGCCGGGAGACTGGAGGATAGCCTAATGAATGTTGTACTTGATCTAAGGGTTAATGCGCCATTTAGCTTAAATTTGAACATTGATCTTATTGTAGGAGAGGAAGTTTGATATTTCTACTAAGCAGCTAAAGTATTATTTCGAAAAAAACTCCTCGGGCCACGGAAAATCAATTCATCGATTTGCATATTCTAAGAGACTGCAAGTGGCTGTTTCAGATCAAGACTCGTGGACTAATGATAAGTTCAGCTAAGGGTGCCGACGGCTACCCCACCTTCCTGAAATACCTTTAGATTATAAGTGGTTGCCCTCAATCTAGGAATCAACTGATTGGCTTCGGAATGAAATGTGAAGGTGGCTGTTATGAAGCTGAAATGCTGGCGATTTGAAACTTTCTGTGGATGGTCGTTATCAGGAAAAGCGTAGTTCAATCAATCATCTCTAGTTGGGCGACGAATATGTAATGTAAAATCTGCTTCTGCACGAGCTGGGAGGTGGGAGGCCTGAAAGCTGCTCCTTTATCACCATGACGTATAGCTAACGCAGTCAGATCACACCCCGGAGATACATATGGTTCGTGATGCAGAATGTGATGTGTAGACGTTTCAGAGAACCTAGCCGGCACTTCGAAGGAATATTTCCTTTTTCTTCTCGACGCACAGCTTGAAAGAGCATTGTAGAATATCCATCTCCATGTGGTCTCCCCATCCGCGCTATTACTTCATTCGTAGAAACATGACTAAGGAAGGTTCCGATACCAATAAGTGCGTTGTCAGATCAATCTCATTAGACCGATAATCCAGGGGCCTTATTGATTTGATAAAAGTGGGGATTTGATTGGTTCTCATACTATGTACAGAACAAAAACATCTCTTGTATACCCGAGCTCACATATTTTACCGACATAAGGGATAATGTATTTTCTGGCTATTTTGATTTCTTACAATTAAGTGGTTTTGAGTCGAGGCTTGTGAGTCAGTGAAAATGTATTTTGAAGCGCAAAGGTGGTCAATAGACGTGAATTCGTTCGCTTATCATACCATATGTGCCAGCTACCCCGCATGCCTAGGTACATACTGCTAACACGTTTACAGTGTCACTTGAATGCTTGATCCGCTGCCCATACCTTTTTTGCTGTCTCCAAACTGGTTACACCTCTTTGAAAAGCAGATAGCTTAAATTACGCCGGAAAAATCGAAACTCGAATCATGGCAAGAGCACAGAATTTCACTGGGAACTATAATAGTAAAGCCAACCAGCTGAATGGTAACCATTTTCATGGCCATGTTACTATCAATCCACCTGATACCACGGAGAGACATCACCCGAAACCCACGCAAAACAATCCAAAGTCAGAGTCCGCGGGATATATGATTAATGAGTTCACTGAGAAAACTGGCTCTCGCGCGAGTGGAATCTTGAACTGGGATGGTGAGTGACTCAAGCCTCACCATTAAGATTCAAAGTCTAATACGAAGAAGATTGTGCCCAGTCACTTGCATTCGAAGAATCAAATGACAGGGAGCGAGTTATAGTAACACAGTCGGCCGGTACTTGTGAATGGCTACTCAAATCACCAAAATACTTACGCTGGATTGATGAACGCGGATTATTTCTGATTAGAGGCAAACCTGGCTCCGGAAAGTCTACTCTTCTAAAATATGCTCTATGCCAACAACCAGAAGCTGTCACCCCTCTAGGCTCTGTCTTGCTATCTTTTTTCTTTTTTGCTAACGGCTCGGAGCTTCAGAGAAGTATACTGGGTCTCTTCCGATCTCTTTTACTTCAATTACTTGAACAGGATGAGGATTCAAAGTCAGCATTCATGAGTATTTGCGGCAGACGCTGCAAACCGGGAGAAAAGGAAAAGCCGCAATTAAATTGGCATCAGGTTGAACTAGAAAATCATTTTCAGAAGCTTGTGATCGACTGTTCTGCTCGGCGGAAAATATTAATTTATGTTGATGCCCTTGACGAGTGCAACGATAAGGACCGGGATCGCCTAATCAGTTCCTTTCATACTCTTCGCGGTGAAAGGCTAAATAGACCGGCAATTTTCGTCACGTGCCGTCCATATCCAGACGGCCAAATTAAGGCAGACTTCCAAATTCGACTTGAAGAGGAGAATCAGAATGACATTCAGAGTTTCGTGGAGCATAATCTACGGCTACCCGATGAGACTGCCGAAGAAGCGGATGAGTTGAAACGTACTCTGCTAAGTAAAGCCGAGGGTCTATTCCTCTGGCTTGTTTTGATCATCCCGCAAATCCACGAGATGAGTAGCAAAGGATTGAGTCTGAGAAGAATCTCTTCAGAAATTCTCGAATGCCCTCGAGAGCTGGATGGGCTGTACGAAGGTCTCCTAAACAAAATTGAAAAGAGCGAGCTACTGGAAGCTATCGCCTTATTTCATTGGATCTGTTTTGCAGCCCGGCCGCTATCACTTAATGAACTCAGAATTGCATTGACAGTGAATCTGAGCGCGTCAAAAAGTTCATTAAAAGAATATGGGGATGGAGACAATCCTCAGTTGATAGCAAACGAATCCAAGATGAGGAAGCGGATGACTTACCTAACTCGAGGTCTTGTGGAATCGAAAAGTGATGAGACAAGCGAAGGCAAAAATGTTGTTGGTTTTCACCATGACACAATCAGAGACTTTATGCGGAAAAAAGGGCTGAACTTTCTGAAAGGGCGGATGCCTGATCGTCAAGGAGTTGCTAAAAGTGCCAATGTTCAGCTAGCAAACACGTGTCTACTATACTTATCAACAGACGAGATTCGCGGTGCTTGCCTAAAGAAGACTATGTTGTCAGGAGAAAACTTTGGGTTCCTGGGCTATGCGGCAATGTTTTGGCTCTCGCATGCTGTTGCCGCAGAGAGGGAACGCTTAGGGGGGACGATTTTGTGGCCAGATGAAGCTATAATTGGTTTATGGATCAAGATACACAACAGCCTATGGCAAGATTCCGAAAAAAACCCAATAGAAGGGACGACATTGATGCATATCGCAGCACAGTACGAGCTTGAAAATTTGGCCAAGAGGATTATCACGAAGGAGGAAAGAATCTCGGCTGCCTTAGGACACACAATATTGCGACGTGGTGATATCTCTTCGTCGATATCAGAGCCAACAGTGAAGACAGAAAAAAAAAGCAGATTAGGGAAAGACGAGATAAAACGACTCACTATACGACGGTCACGCCAGGAGGCAACGGAAAGTCTCGGACGAAGAGAAAATTCTCAAGTAAAGGCAATAAAGAGAGAAATATCGGTGAAGATGGAGCGAGATGAAAGGAAAAGCGGTGCGATGATGGGGTTAAGGAAAGGTAAAGACAAGGAAGGAAAGGAACACGTGAATGTTCGAAATCAAGATGGAGATTTACCACTACATTTGGCGGCAGAACATGGGTCCCTTATGATGGTTAAGTTCTTATATAGGAGCGGAAGTGAGATCACAGAATTGAATCACCGAAAGTGTACACCGATCTATAAAGGGTCAAAAAATGGTCATCTCGAAGTGGTCAAGTTTCTATTCGAGCATGGAGCAGATATTCACACCACGACAAATGGTGGCTGGACTCCATTCTGTGCGGCTTCAGACTCAGGCCATCTCGAAGTAGTCAAGTTTCTATTCGAGCATAGAGCAGATGCCGATATTCACACCGCGACAAATGATGGCTTAACTCCATTCTGTGCGGCTTCAGACTCAGGCCATCTCGAAGTAGTCAAGTTTCTATTCGAGCATGGAGCAGATGCCGATATTCACACAGCGACAAATAATGGCTGGACTCCATTCTGTGCGGCTTCAGAGTCAGGCCATCTCGAAGTAATGAAGTTTCTATTCAAGCATGGAGCAGATATTCACACCACGACAAATGATGGCTGGACTCCATTCTATGCGGCTTCATATTCAGGCCATCTCGAAGTAGTCAAGTTTCTATTCGAGCATAGAGCAGATATTCACACCGCGACAAATGATGGCTGGACTCCATTCTATGCGGCTTCAGATTCAGGCCATCTCGAAGTAGTCAAGTTTCTATTCAACCATAGAGCAGATACCGATATTCACACCGCGACAGATAATGGCAGGACTCTATTCTATGCGGCTTCAAATTCAGGCCATCTCGAAGTAGTCAAGTTTCTATTCGAGCATGGAGCAGATGCCGATATTCACACAGCGACAAATGATGGCAGGACTCCATTCTATGCGGCTTCAAATTCAGGCCATCTCGAAGTAGTCAAGTTTCTATTCGAGCATGGAGTAGATGCCGATATTCACACAGCGACAAATAATGGCTGGAATCCATTCTGTGCGGCTTCAAATTCAGGCCATCTCGAAGTAGTCAAGTTTCTATTCGAGCATAGAGCAGATGCCGATATTCACACCACAACAAATGATGGCTGGACTCCATTCTGTGCGGCTTCATATTCAGGCCATCTCGAAGTAGTCAAGTTTCTATTCGAGCATGGAGCAGATATTCACACCGCGACAAATGATGGCTGGACTCCATTCTGTGCGGCTTCATATTCAGGCCATCTCGAAGTAGTCAAGTTTCTATTCGAGCATGGAGCAGATGCTGATATTCACACAGCGACAAATAATGGCTGGACTCCATTCTGTGCGGCTTCAGACTCAGGCCATCTCGAAGTAGTCAAGTTTCTATTCGAGCATAGAGCAGATGCCGATATTCACACAGCGATAAATAATGGCATAACTCCATTCTGTGCGGCTTCAAATTCAGGCCATCTCGAAGTAGTCAAGTTTCTATTCGAGCATGGAGCAGATGCCGATATTCACACCACGACAAATGATGGCTGGACTCCATTCTGTGCGGCTTCAGACTCAGGCCATCTCGAAGTAGTCAAGTTTCTATTCGAGCATGGAGCAGATGCCGATATTCACACCACAACAAATGATGGCTGGACTCCATTCTGTGCGGCTTCAGACTCAGGCCATCTCGAAGTAGTCAAGTTTCTATTCAACCATAGAGCAGATACCGATATTCACACCGCGACAGATAATGGCAGGACTCCATTCTATGCGGCTTCAAATTCAGGCCATCTCGAAGTAGTCAAGTTTCTATTCGAGCATGGAGCAGATGCCGATATTCACACAGCGATAAATGATGGCTGGACTCCATTCTTTGCGGCTTCAAATTCAGGCCATCTCGAAGTAGTCAAGTTTCTATTCGAGCATGGAGCAGATGCCGATATTCACACCACGACAAATGATGGCTGGACTCCATTCTGTGCGGCTTCAGACTCAGGCCATCTCGAAGTAGTCAAGTTTCTATTCGAGCATGGAGCAGATACCGATATTCACACCGCGACAAATGATGGCAGGACTCCATTCTATGCGGCTTCAGATTCAGGCCATCTCGAAGTAGTCAAGTTTCTATTCGAGCATGGAGCAGATACCGATATTCACACCGCGATAAATGATGGCTGGACTCCATTCTTTGCGGCTTCAAATTCAGGCCATCTCGAAGTAGTCAAGTTTCTATTCGAGCATGGAGCAGATATTCACACCGCGACAGATGATGGCTTAACTCCATTCTGTGCGGCTTCAGACTCAGGCCATCTCGAAGTAGTCAAGTTTCTATTCGAGCATGGAGCAGATACCGACATACAAACGCGGACACATTATGGACCAACTACTAATAGTGTGGCTGTATAATCACACTCCCTCTATCTCTTAATACGTTTCCTTCTCGCCATTCATTTCTATTTAATTCACGGCATTGCAACTTATTTATTACGCAGCTCCAAAATGAGCCTATTTATTCTAATTCAGATATAACTTAGATCCGTAACCCGTGTTCCAAGATGGAATTATGTTGAAGTTCTCTCAACCTTTTAAGATTGCATGGAATTTCTCAGACATTCGCTTTCCATCCAGTTCATTGATACTTTTCTTACGTACCAATTATTCTTGTCCTCATTTCTTCCTCCAATATTGGAGATTATAATGGAAAAATTGTGTGCTACACGGCAGGAATCAAGATAAGTATGATTTGATTCCCGTAAAATACGATTACTGGTATAGACCGATACCTACTACCCTGACTTAATCTAAAAGATCAAAACGGTTTCGAATCATCTACGAATTCAAATCATTCTTGGCGTGCGTGCCCTCAAGACAGATTAAAAGCTCCATTCCGCGACTCTCCTGAAAGTCCTGGCTGTTGTATGTTTTTATTTTTTTTTATTTTCTGTCCCTTTTTTACATTCGACTAAGGGTGGGTAAGCATTGGGTGTATCATCTTTCATACAGTAAACGATGTTAAACCAAGATTATCTTTTACAAATTATTTGGTTTGATGAATATCTTAGTCTAAATTTGCTTCTTAACAAAACAATTGGCCGGATGGTGTAGCTGGTTATCACGTTATCTCAGGTCCAGCCTTGTAGATCACGTGATACATAGATCTTGTCAAGTCGACTGGTTCAGACTGGCCGATCATTCAAATGCCACAAATGAATGAAACTGAATTACTAAACTAGGGATGAAGTTCGCCTAAAATAGTGATACAAAGTGGGTAATGCAAACCCTACAAACCAGGCCAAATCAGGCTAACTAGGCCCAATCGAGCCTAAACCACCACCCATTTGACAGATCTCCACAATTGTAAGGGTACATAGTAAATACCTTGCACTAGACCAAGTTAGGATGCCGAAATGTGAGTTGGAAATGTGAGGGCGCGTGTTTCCCTGCAGATCATTGCACAAAACAGCGAATGAGGTCACGTGTTTCACGTCAACAATACGTCAAAAGACCCCACTTTCCCTCTCAACTTTCCCCTCTTTGTCTCTTCCCCACTATTCTCCACTCTTTTACACAAATCCTCATCACCACCTTACACACTCCCGTTCTTTCTCCACCAACACGTTCTTACTGCCAATACCATGGATCACCTAGATGGTTTTTTTTCTGTTGAGGAATTTTCCTGTCTTGAAGATCACAGAATTTTGATGCTGCCACTAACGGCGAATGATGGAAAACGGAAAGTCTCTGCTGCGTTAAGTCTTTCAAGCCTAGATGGGTCGAGTTCAATTTCATCATCTTAATCAACGCACTCTGCCACAGTCCAGGTATTTGGCTTCGAGAATAGCTGGCTAACTATAGAGTTTCCAACATCACGGTCAAGCGCAACTATGGTGCAACTTTTGGGATTCACACCCGAGGTGGCTGAGAAGATCTTCCGCTCCTATAGCGAACGCCCCGATCCTAGGATCAATCACTATGAACTTATTGACTATGTGATGATTCAAATTCTTCCTCTTATGCAATCAAAATCTGACGCAACTCTTCAGCACGAGCTGGAAAGTGTTGGTCTTAATCAACAAATTGTGCGAGCCATCGCCGACCCAGTGTATCGCAAAATTCTTTGGACTCAAGATCCCTACTATTGGGTGCTGGATACAATCTGAACTAACTACAACTCAATCCGGAATAAACAAGACCTTCTTAAGGAGTATGTAGGCACAAGAATTACGACTAAACGTCAGCAACAACGTGCAGCCTTTAGTCTCCACCAGAAGATAGCAGAGGAACCACCAAACCCTCATGTGGCAACGGCCAACACTCTCCTCTATAACCTCAAAATGCACGCGGCCTGGTTAAAAGTTCAGCCCCCTGATATAACTCGACCAGGTCACATATCCCTCTATAAGGGGCTATCGTTTGCTGAGAGACCACACGAAAGGCAACTTTTTATTGGAGCGAATGGTTCTATTAATATGGCAGCGTTGAAATCAAATCCACCAGGAGAATTTAATGCTTTAGATTTTGCTCTCTATTGGAGCCCTCAGAGAGAGACGGCTGAAATGTACCGGCAATGGGCGGCCCATCGAAACCCTAACACAGAGAGCTGTATCATAGAGATTTAGGTGCCCATCGAATTCTTCGCAGGCCTAAACTCACATGAGCTATGGGATTCCCTGGTATGGAAAGAATTTGTGTGGCTTTGCAGGAAAGAGGGTCAGATGCCAGAACACCTAGAGTGGCTCGAAGCCCTCGACCTTATCAAAGGTCACGTTTGCTCTGGAGGAACAACACAGATCGCTTCTCTTGCATATGAAGATATCTTTGCCACAATTACAGAGCATGTTCTGAAAGTGCAGGTTCAGGAGCGATTTATCAAAGCCATACAGTGGGTTTTTCTCAAGTCAGTTCATTTTCGCGCTCTGGGCGCTCAGGTGCGAGGTAAGGTGCATTTGGATTTCTTTGCTGCACTGAATTCTCAGTCAAACAATCCTGCTCCTCTCTACTAAGGTTTTAGTGCACCCACCCGACTACTGGCAGCGTTTGAGCCATAAGCCAGTAAATAGGGTAATTCCACGCGCCTGTTTCTTGGCCGAGGCGATACTTAGAAGATGGTCTCAGACTAAAACGGTTCCCAATATACGAATTAAATAAGTAAGTCATAGGTCTGCTCGAAACAAGTACATTAAATCACTTTTTTACTCATTTTTCGAACCTTGGAGAAGTCAATCAATCAATCAATACTCTATTAACCTGATGCAGCCTAACTAGTAGCGTATGGCTATGCAGGCGTTTCCTCCGGCGGAAACAGGAATATTCCAAACGCCAGAGTGTCAAGATAGATACAAAATAAATGTGGCGTTGCACCATTATAAACCGAAATCCCATATCCCACTTTTGAACCCGTAACGCCCTCCATGTAATATCGCTTGTAAACCACTCCTTCCCTGTTTCTTCTCCCACCACTCCTCACGTTCTTCCCCACTCCTGTTTTCCTCCTTTTGTTGTTCGTTGAATTGTCGCTGTATTCTTCTAGTACCTTGGAGAAGTTTAATCGTCTTTTTCTATGCTTAATTTCTTGACCCAAGAAAATTTAGTGACTAACCTGCTCGAGATTGTCGAATACGTGAGGGTATTAGCGCCCCTTTAGGCCTTTACTAAGCAGCACTTGACTTATGAGTCTGTACTATCTCTTTTGCCTCTCAAAATAGTACATTTTATAGTATATTCACAGCAAGGCAGACATTTATCATGACTTCTAAAAGTTCACGGTCCGGCCACTCCTCTAATAGAAAGTTGATCCGCCAAAAGCAATCTCGCCGCAAAACAAGTCTGATGAGAAAAGCGTGCGAGTACAGTAAACTCTGTGATGCAGATGTATGTGTCGGTATTCGAGTCAGAGAAACGGGCCAGGTGTACATCTTATCTGCAGATACTTCGGGGTTCTGGGCTTTCATTACTTCACAGTGAAATGGGGAACGCTCTAGGCAGCACGGTCGGAACGTGCAGGTCGATTCAGTTAGGAAAAACCAACCACAACCACGAGGGAAAGCTCAGTGAAGGTAGGGAGTCAAAAATTGAAGAGGTGTGTAAAGGTGTTCTTTCTATAACTATCACAACTTCTAGATAAATGGTACTATTCGGTTCTGCCGTTGCAGACCGCTTTCTTCTTCATACTGTATAGTAGAAGCGAGTTTTTTTTAGCATATCTGAGTTTCTTCTTATTCTTTACGGAGTAGTTAGTCAGCTAATCTGCCGTAGATCATCCTCATCCACTTAGCTTCCTCCACAAACGAATAGATTTTTGGATTATTCGAATTCGTTTCAGATAGCCATTATTCGAATTCGTATTCGATTGGGGTAGCATTATTCGTATTCGATTCGTTTTATTCGTTTTATTTATTCTGCCACCGCCCATATGTTCAGCTAAGGTATCAGTGGAGAGATTGTTCAGTCAAGTTCGGGATATAATTGGTGTTCGTCGATATTCTTTGAATGGTCAGACGATGTTACGGGATGAATGCAGGAATTTGTACGCTGTAAAGATCCGATTGGTAAACAAGAAGAATTAACTAAGGGAGGGAAAGGGGTCCTGGGACCGGGTGTTCATAGCTCGTTCGGCTCCGCACAGATGCCAGGAGCGCAGTCTCTCCAGAGACTGAGCATTTCATCGGGTATCAACCCGTTACAGACGATGAGGAAGTTAGTTCTATTAAGAGATTTATATACAGAGACTGTTTTTGAAAATTGAATGCGTGCGCTATTGTTTCTAAAATTTGAAAGGGTGTCATACCTTCTCACATTCTACCAAATGAATGTCTATTATATATAACTGGAGTGACGGGCTCTATATCACATCCTTGTGAAGGGCTAAAGCTAATCTTGAATTCAGAACTAGCTAGGCACATGCTATTTACAAAATCCTTGAAGAACGTGAATAATTCGGGGTGGAATCGTGAGGTATGCGGTTGGTGGGTCACGTGGTTGTACCACGTGATAGTTCACCAGGATTCAACCTGTTACAATACCCCCCTCCTATTCTCCTGTTTTCCGGGGTCCATTCGAAGTCGTAATTGGTCCGTATCGTAGTTCAAAGGTGTCGAGAGCTGTGCAGTTTTCCATTGCGTCGATAGGTTCCTATATCAGTTCTGCGTATCCTCGCCATTTCACTAATGCTTCCCTCCGCGATCCACGTCCAATTTTTCGTGTCCTTGCTTATAGGATCTCTTCAATTTCGTATTCCAGATCTCCTTCGACTAACAGCGGAGGCGGTTGCGAATCGTCCACGATTTGTGACGGTAACGGGTCCGTTGCCGCGGGTCTTATTAACTCAACATGGAAGATAGGATGTATGCCGCTTGGCACATCCAGCTTCACTGTATGAGAGGATGGCACTTCTAGAACTGTGTATTTGGCGTGGAGCCAGTCTAGTTTCTTTGAAGGCCGTATCGTGCGTACATTCCGTAGGTTTAGCCATACTTTATCGTTGATATTATAGACTGGAGCGGCTCGTCTTGAACGATTCGCTTGTTCCTATTGGCGTTCTTGGGCGATAGCCATCGCTGCATTTGCCCAATCGGTGGCGTCTCGTAGCCGGTTCGTGAACGTTTCCGCTGCGATCTCTGGTCCTCTCTCTGCTTGGACTTCTATCACTTCGACTGGATCGACATGGTATCCGTGTGTGAAGAAGAATAGAGATAGTCCAGTAGAGGTTGCGTCTTGGTTATTGATCGCTATGGCTATAATAGGTAGTAAACTTGCCCAGTCGTCCTATGCGTATATAGTAAAGGCGCGTAGAATTCGTTCGACTTCTTGATTTACGTGTTCCGTAGCTCCATCAGTTTGGGGGTGGAATGCGGTAGATAATCGGCGTCGAATCTTTAGCTTTTCGCACACGATTCGCCAGAACCCTCCTACGAACTATGGGCCGCGGTCACTAGTGATCGCTATTGGTAAACCATGATACATATAAATATGCTTCATAAAGACATCTGCGACGCTTTCCGCAGTAATACTATGCATATCTATTAGGATCACTCCTTTAGATAGCCGATCAGTAATTACTAGACAATTCGTCGCTCTTTCTTTCCTAGTAGGTGGAAGTTCTGTGATGAAATCCATGGATAGTTCGGCCTAGATTTGTTGTGGAATCGGTAATGGTTTAAGTAGGCCTTGCTTCGAATCTCTCTAAATCGTGTTTCGTCCACAAATGGTGTAATTCCTTAAGAATCTCTGTATATTGTTCGTCATTCCTGGCCAAAAGAATCTATAGGCCAGTATTGTATAGGTTGCGTCCCGTCCTGGATGTCTAGTCGTGTAGGAATCGTGGACCTTCTGGATCAAGGTTGTGCGTAGTAGTTCGTTATCTAGAATCCATGTCCTTTTCCTAAAGTGTAGAAGATTTCGTTCATCTAAGTCATACTTGGATAGGCTTATTTTCAGGTTCGATTCGGCAGGGATTCGTCGGTCTCCCTTTTCAAGTGCGAGTGCGAACTGCTGGTATATTTGATCTTCCTTCCGCGCGTTATTCCATGCTTCCTACGTTTCTGCTTCTTTAAACATCGCTACTAGTATATTAAAGTCTAAAGATGGACTTGGTTCAGTGCTATTGTTACGGATTGTTACTGATTCGAAGAGTTTCCGGAAACGATTCGTGAGCCTCTTATCAGAGATTCCTTTAGGTTCGTCTTGTCCTCGCCGGGATAGAGCATCTGGTTAGATCGCCTGTTTCCCGGGTCGATATCGTAGCTCAAAGTCGAATTCGGCCAGGATGTCTGCCCATCTTATTTGTCGTTCGCTTAGATCCTACGCCTTATGAAAGTATCATAGATTTTTGTGGTCTGTTAAGACCACGAATCGCGGGACTATCTTCAGCTCTGGCTTCCATTCCCGTAGCGCATGGATAATAGCGAGTAATTCCTTGTTATATATCATATAATTGGTCTCTGCAGGTGAGAACTTACGCGAGAGATAGGCGCATAGTCTTAGTGTCCTATCTTCTTGTCTTTATGATAAGACTGCTCCTATCGCCCATCTAGATGCGTCTGTTTCCACTATTGTTTCGGTGTCTTCTCGGAAATGAGCTAATATTGGTGTAGAGATAAAGAGGTCCTTTAGGGTCTCGAATGATTCTTGTTTCTCCTTGTCCTATTTGAATATCGTATCTTTCTTTGTTAACTGCACCAATGGTGCAGAGACATCTACGAATCATGGTATAAACGTCCGGTAGAAGTTAGCGAATCCAACAAAACCACGTACTTCTCGGATATTAGTAGGTGCTTCCTATAGCTTAATGGCTTCAACTTTCTTCGGGTCTATATATAGACCTTCTCCAGCTTGTATAATGAACCCTAGGTATTTCATAGAGCTCTATTCAAATTCAGATTTCTCGATATCGCATTAAAGTCCAGCATCTCTTAGCTTTTAGAGCACCTCGCGTACTTTTCGTCTATGATCCGTGATCGATCCGTCGGAGTAAATAATGATATCGTCTATATGTCACGGTGCCAGCTCAGACGACTACTGATTGATTAGATAGTGTCAAAGGCCCGATGCCATTTATAGTTAGTCTATTTTAGTCAGCATTGGAATCCCACAATGGGATTCCTCCATTCTACAATCGATACACATACACACTTTGGTACGCATACTGCGTTCTTATTTGCCCACTAGAATCCACTATTCCTTGGTAGTCGACCTCCATTTGACAGTTATGAGCCCGGTTCGCCGACAATTTACCTTGAAAAGCATATTTTAAGGGTAAACGAGACTGAAGACTATGTCCGCGATGTCCGGCGATATAAGACTGAAAGATGCCTCTCAATGGCAGCAGTGGTATAGGCGAGTCAAAGCCGTAGCCACTGGCGGAGATGTATGGGAATACTGCGATCCAGAGCTTAGGACTGAACGACCAGTCCTAGGATCAGAACCACGCGACTACCCGATCAAACCAATGCTTGAACTCGACATAGATCGTAAAGAGTATGATCGGTTACGACAGGACTGGAAG